ATCCATCCACTGTATCACGCAAGCAATCACAGCAAGCAAACTAAGTAACCAACACACCAAAAAGTTACATTTTTGTCCCTGTCCATGATCCATCCATCACTGTATGTGTATTCTCCGAATCCAAGCGGCCAACAAGCCCAGCAGGCCGAACTAACCAACACACCAACCAAGGGAAGTAGTATATAAAGAAAAAATAGCAACCAAACGGTGTTTTCCCCAAAAATGTTGTTGATACTTGCCTTGCATTGGTAGCCCGCCGAGCAACCAACAAACCAATCAACCAAGACCACACAATCCCGTGTTTTCCCCAAAGGCTGTCGATATTTGGTTTGCATGACAACAAGCTAGCCAACCAATCAACACACCAAGCAAAGGAAGGAGGGTGAAAAAGATTTGGTCGAGGAGAAAGGGTAGAGGATGAAAAAGACAGGTTCGAGGGTGACAAAAAAAGGTTCAGAGGGTGAAAAAGAAAAGTGGAGGGTGGGAAAAAACGGCGGGGTGAACAAAAAAAACAAGGGTTAAAATAAAAGGTCGCCCATTCCGAAACATAGTTCATGACGCAGGGGCCGAGTTCATTCCGCACAACATCCATTGGCAGTTCCTGTCTTCCGAAACCACGGCGGTTACTGCAATTCGTTTGCTGGACTTGTGGCCCGGGCTTACCAGCGCCACGCAATTCGCAGGACATATCATTGAGCTGAGAGTTGTTTTTTGCCTGCGTCCTGGGGGGTTGATTTTGTAAAGCTTTTCAGATTGGCGAACCTGGGGTGGTTGATTCTGTAGCACATTTTCCTTACAAAATCAACCACCCCTACATACGCCAGGAATTCGAGGGGGTATATATTGGACCTTTAGATCGCAGAAGACACTACTTTGGAAGTCTGTTTCCTGTTTGCTTTTCCGGCGTTCAGATTCTTGGGAAAAGTTTGCCAAGCCCTCGCCGTGACTTGCCAGCACGGAGCGGGCCGAATCTCCCTGTCCGATCCCGGCACAGCGGTGCGTCATAGTTGACACAGCCATCAGGTGATGGAGTTGATCCCGTCATTTGAACAAAGGAACACTCCAGCCACATGTGGTTGAGTGATGTTGGCATGTGCTTATCATGGCTTACCATGCTGGAGGTCGCTCTCATGTTTTCAGCCTGTCGGGTCGTCACCGCGTCCCTATATTGCCACAAATTGATTCCAACTGTGTGATAAGCCATGTTAAACCATTTCAATACAGAGTTAACATGTTTTCACAGCGTTGGTTACAGTTGAGGGCCACTGTTTGATTGGGATTCGCACCGACAAGCGTAGCCAACTCGGGGCCTTTTTTGCACGTTGCCTTTCGAGATCTTCGCATTTCGTCTTTGCAGAATTGCAAAAACGGTTTCCTCACCCGCTGCGTGCCTCCACGACGCATTCGTTGTGGTGCTCGTTTCGGACTTGGTGGTCACTTGTCGTGGCCGGCGCCAAGGGAAACCTCGTGTTTGAGTGGTCTTTAAAACGATTCGTCATGGCGGGCGCAGGAGGTCGGAACATCCCGACCAAAACTTTCCACTGGGCACGGGCCACACAAGGGAGACCTGCATGGAGATGGTCGTGCAAAGCAAGTGTCCGGGACTAATAGTTGATCCCCACTTCACTTAAAACCGCCGCGTCCCGCGTGCCAGTTGGTTTGCCAGCACATCGGCAATGTGGACGTGAGTCAACAAAAGTTCGGACCAACGGCGGCGCAGATCTGGGCTCGTGCAGCGCTTCCACTGCTGTTGCGCATCGGATGTGGCGCTGAGACACCATGTTTTACACCAACCACCGTTTGCACCAAACCACGTTTTATACCACTGTTGACGCCCCAGCGCGGCTGTCGTGCACCAAGCACATACTCCTACACCACGTTTTGCAACAACCACCCGCCCTTGCGCGGTTTACGCCCAAACTTTGTTTTACGCCAACCACCCGTGTTACGCTCACAAGGCGGTTTCTAGTCTTGCCCCTACCACCTTCTGCCCCGAACAGCTGCCAATGCATGTGTTACATGTTTTGCATTATCCTATTTTTACTTCCGTCCTACAAGTCGTGTCGCTCTCCCCCTCTGTAAATTCTTCATTGGTTGTTAACTTGTAAGCAATGATGGATTTTTTTTCACGCAAAGGTTGGAAGCACGGAGACCATTTGTAGAAAAAAGGGGGTATGCATGTTGGAAAGGTTTGAGACATGGCTAAATCGAAAAGGTCGGCAGAAGCACCCGTGCATTTCAGAAACAAAATGAAAACATGCGGTGCCATAGGCTTGTATGTAGGGCCTTTTTTTTTTTAGAACCTGGCGTATGATTTAAAACAAACCTATGACTTCCGTTTCTTCGGAAAAAGTGTGATTACAAAAATGATTGCAGCCTTTGTTTGAAGCTGTTTTGGAAAATGGCATTGAAACCGTTTCACGAAAAGTTGCAGCCAGCCCGGTTCGCTACGAAATGGTTGTAGGAGGTTCTGGAGTGTGGGAGATGCCACAGGAACGGAGTTTCCCAGACTAGGACCTTGATAAAGGACTTGCAGTCCATGGACCTGGACGAAGCACGTGTTGCGGAATCAAGGTTTGATGATGAGGAGGTCCGCCTACCTGGGAAGAGAACAAAAGAGCCGTCGCAAGTGATGTGACGATCGGCTTTAATCACGGCCTTGTCCTAATGGCCTCAGAGAGGTTGTGGCACCACTGGAGACCGCGTTTGTGCCGCAATTCGAGCTGCCAAAATTTGACACTGAATATGCAAGGAGTGAAATATTCGGTCTCACGGGCCTTGTGAAGACGAACTCTCCAGATGTTTATGTTCGAGTTCGCGAAGGTAAACTACAGCACTTTCTGAGGAACGGATTTGTGTCCCAAGTCATCGCGCGAAACAGGCGTTTAGGCGCAAGGTTCGCTTCAGCGGGTTCTGAAGGAAAGCCCGGAAGGGGAACGACACGCCTGAATCCCCAGCGTCTCGATGACCTGACCCCAACGGCAGGTTCCTCAGTCCTTTTTTCATCACAAAACATACCAATTCGCAGGGCTTGACATCAAACTGAACCAAAACTGAATAGAGGTCATTGTCAGCCCCGCTTGAAGGGTGAGACTGGTCCCGAACTCCTTCGACCAAGCCAAAGACTTTCCGCTGGTGGAGCCTGCAGCCACCTAAAAGATAATAGCGCCATAGGCACATCTGGAAGCTGGCCAGGATAGAATTTTAAAAACAGCTGTGTTTCAACGGGTCATACACAGACCGGCCTGTATTTTATTGTTGGGTCGGGGAGCTGGCACTTTGTTAAACAAAGCAAAACAAAACAATAAAAAATACAAGACAGCGGACGCTGGCAACCCGCAAAAGCAACAAAAACATAAAACAACAACAACAACAACAACCGCAATGTCAGGCATACCCGTGGACTTGACCAGCAACACCCCGAGCGACTGGATCCAAGATATCACACCCCTGCTGTCCAGCACAGGCGCGGGCACCCTTCTCTACACTTGCCACAAAGCCGGCTTGGCCACAGCAGTACCCAACCCAGCTGCTCCTTCTACACCACCCCACCCGCGTGACGCAAAAACAGGTCAGCCACCACCAGCTACCACGGATGAATTTGCCTGTCCCAGTTTGCATGGCGGCCAGCCACCCTGACGGCAAAGGAGTCATGTCCTTGTGCTTGTGGCCGCACTGCAGGCACTCTTTCCACACCGGCTGCGCCGAGCACATACGAACAACCTCACCCACCATGCCCTTCCTGCCGGCAACCGTGGCAACCCAGTTCAGCCCTCCTGCTCCGTGCCCAGTGTCGACACCACGGGGTCACACTGCCAGACCGTTTAGCAAACTCGATCAGTGACCCCAGTCCAGCCATCAGCCCCCCCCCGACATGTCCTGCCATTGTGTTGTCATCGAGTCATCCTGGCCAACCCGTCTCATTCCGAACGTGACGATGCGCGGACGGAAATTCGGCACATGGAACGGGCCCAAAGCCAGGAAGCGGAATGGATTTGCCTCAGGTGCAACACCACCATCACTGTTGAGCACGCCCTATTTCAAGAACTGCTTGATTGACCAGAGTGCCCACAACACGGCATCCGATGCCTCGTCATAGATGCCAGCCGTCATAGGTGGGTGTGTCTAAACACCGCGGGTGATTTGCACGCGGGCCCGCCCCAGCAAGCGCCCAGCCCTCACCATGGGCCGCCAGCAGCACCCAGACCCCAGCACGAACAAAGCAATTGGCACCCAACAACCCACCGGGCACAACCCACATCTGGCTTTAGGCCACTGCTCTTAGCAGCCCCAGGACGGCTCGCACCCGCCGCCTTGCAACAATGGGCGAGCCACCCCTCCGGCCAAAACGCTTGGCAACAGTTGGTTTCCGCCTTGCAGGAGGCAAACCCCATCCCCTGGCAGCAACTCCACAACATCTTGGAATGCCAGAAAAAATGCCAGAAGGTGTGCCAGAAAAGATTGTCAGAAAAATTGGCGCAGATATGCCAGAAGTAATGCACAAAAAAACATGCCAGAAAACATGTCGAACAAAATGACTGAACCAACGCACTTTTGTGCTGCAGAGTTGGACTTCAAACACCCCAATGCGGACAACTTGGCCTGCAACCGTGGCTGACTTTGGCACGGTTCGCCGTTTTGGTTCCGAGCCTCCGGGAGTTAAAACTTATCTTGACCCAAAAGGGGCCACGCCATCTTGACCCTACTACCTGCATAATGTCCGAGGCCCCAGTGACGGAGTTGAGAATGTTTTCTGGGTGGCAACTGGCAACGTGGCAGATGTGGGAAGACCTGCCTTGTTGGGGTCCTTGTATGCAGCTCGCCCGCCATCCTGCCACACTTAACTTTTCAATAGTCTAAAACTCACCGTGAAGGATGCCCACCAACCAAAACCCCTCACCTGCCACTCTCACTCGGCACCATGTTTTCCACCCGCCCGAGGTACACCTTACTTTACCTCAATTTGGCCGCTGTGGCCGCATTCATGCCGAAGGACTGACCGTTTAAGGGCGTTCCCAAGGGCCGGTGCCAGGTGGGCGATCGAGAGAAGAACCGAACGACCTCGTGTTCCAGGTGTGGATACGTGGGAAGCCTAAGCGTCATATGGAACCATTCACCACAAGATCATTTGGATTCATTTGGAATCTTTGGTTTTTTAAGGGCAGCTAGCAGCTAGGTAATGCTAGGTATTGCAGCCTGCGCACGAACAATTGAGTAGGTGGCATCAATGACAATACTGGCCCATTTGATGTGAGGGCAGCCAATGAACTATCGTTACTATGCATGCCTCGATGGAAACCGAGCAGGTGGGCGCACGGGCGCGAACTTGCCACCATGCTCACTGGTGCCAACATGTAGAGGGGAAACGCATTCAGTTGGCTCAAAGCAGCACGCCCATGCCTAAGTCAATGTAAGCGTCATTGTTCCCGAAGGGAAACATTGTCATTTTCGTTTATGCCTCGGTATGGTGAGGATTCACGTCCGAAGGCCGCAGAGGAACTCGACATGAAGCCCGAAGCTTTGGCACATTTGCACAAGCTGCACAGCCGTTTGGGCAGCGAGGTTTGGACTGAAGAGTCCCGAAAAACACAGAGTTACCGTGTGGATAACGGTTTCTTGAAGGCTCAGTCTGTAGGCCTTGGCTTTCGGAGAAGCAAAGACATGAAGGATTTGGTGCCTGATACGGTGGTGCCTTGGGGAAGCCGCATTCAAGGTGTGGATGAGGGTGATGGTTGGTTGCGGCTGGGTGCCAACTATTTGCCCTTTTTCGTGCATGGCATTCCAGTGATTTCCCCGGACGGATCAAGACAATTGAGCCCTTGGAGTTCTCCACGCAGTGTGAGCGAAAAAGGGCAGGGCTCGATGCAGTCGCTGGCAGGCGCCAAAGTGGCTGAGGCTGGTGCTCCATGGCCGAGGAGCCCAGGTATGCTGGGAGGGGCAGGCACCATCAGTAGGACACCAGGGCCCAGCCCTATTGAAGCCAACGTTGTGCCTTTGTCACCGCCCATGCCAACAGCGCCCTTCGACTTTGCTTCGCTCAGGGAGTTGGTGCGTTTGCTGCGCGAGTGTCACAAGAAGGTCTCGAAAGGTTTGCGGCCGAACGAAGAGTTGCAGATGCTGGAGCAAATTAGAAGATCTTTGGCAAACGATTTGGCAATGCATCAACGCAGTGGAGTGTGGCACTACCTTTTACAGGAGATCTTGCTCACGCAAGATGCGATCGAGGGCAAGTACCCGTCATCCGAAGCCAAGCAGCCACCAGGCACCAAGGTGCCCAGCTCTCCCTGGCGGGAGTGGGAAGAGTTCAAAAAAACTGCTCTCCCAGACAGTGATGAAGATGAACCTCCCAGAAGACGAGCAGATGAAACCACCCCCAGCTTGGTCGGTCCCATCTTGACCGAAGCCTTGAGCGGAAGCGGCGCGGCGGCGCTCCTGGACGCGGTTCCCGCGGCGCTGAGAACGCATCACCGACACCAACCTCAGGAGGTCGAAGATCGGTGTGTCGAGCTCGAACGGCACGTGGCACGTGTGCGGCAGGCACGGCACGCACGCCAGCGTTAGGATCACCATGGAGATGTCGAGATGAATCGTGAAACCTGGCGAAACTCGAGGTGTTTGCTCCAATTGGACGGAGTATAACTGGAGTTCACTTCCTGTTGCCCCGCATGCATGAATGCACATGCGGTTCAGGCTCGTTGCGCAATGCCGCAAGGCCAGGACGGCAGAGATGCCCGTGCTGATTCATGCCACGAAAAAGGTGACGTTGAGTGTCGGTTCCCCACAGTACGGGAAGGGGGAAGGAGGGGCGGCTGTTTGGCAAAAACGCTGCACCCCAACATCCAATCCAATAGTTTTACTATGCGTACTATGTTTTACTGTGCATGGGGGGTATACGTGAAGGAAACCACATGAAATGAAGCTAGCGGCGCTTTCTTCGGTGATGCTCGTTTTGCACGTTCACACACTGATGTTTTGAAATGTTTTTCATTTATACACAATCTTTTGGATTGCAGGTGGGCGCTACATGTATACTTTGAACCCTGCAAAGTAGCTTAGAAAGTGGGACATGCATGACCCTACAAGAAAGGTACTTGTCCAATTGTTTGAGGTATTTTGACTCCAGGCAGGCCAACATTGACTCGGCTTCTTCCGGAAGAGCGCGGGTTTGGGCTCTTTTCGGCATCGCCGAAGCTCCAACTTGATCCGAAAGTGGTTGGGGTGGGTGCCAGGCGGGCCTAACTGCCTTCTCAGGATGGGATTGGAGCCGTATAGGGTCTGAGCTTCGTTTTTTCCACTTGGCGATTGCATGATTCTGGGATGACCTGCGATGATGCAACCTCTATGAAACTTAGGATGACCAGCATGCCCCTAGCTATGCCAGCTATGCCTTGCAGGCATGCCTTGTGCTATCTTGTGCTGTTTGAAATGGCCTTCAAGGGCTACACTAGGTGGTGATTTTGGATGTTTGTCAACCTTTACTTTGGATATCTTCAGATGATTAACCCACTGACTCGTACTTTTCATTCGTGAGTTGCAAGCACCAACCAGACACTGGTTGGGTCTTGGGTGGTTGCGAAGCCGGGCGGAGTGCGAGGAGAAGGCGGCTCATTTCTTTGCATCTGAGGCGTCGACGGGCATTCTTGGGGGAGCAGAACGGCCGGTGGTCACTTGAAACGGAACGAAAGAACGAGCACCACTTGACTGATAAGATTGATGGATGTTTTTTTAACAAAAATGTTTTATATATTTTTTGGATATGGTTCTGGCGAACTCATTCAAAACCTTTTGGTAACATACCACCCCTACGAGTATGGTGTTGTTCGGTGGGCATCTCAGACAAACACATGCCAAAAAGTCAAAAAACATGGCCAGGTCTTTAATAGCTTATGCAGAGACATTTGGTGGTCTTTTTGGGCAGGCAGGGATGCAAGAAGAGGCTGTTTTCAATTGCAAATCCTGGTCAACAGCCATAGGGCCAACGAGCCCGGATCAACCATCCAAATTCAAAACAACGAACCACTTGCCACCGAAACCAGTACCTGCTATATTGTGTTGGGTGTCACCTTTTGGTCGCTATCTATTGAGCGGGGGCCCTTCCATCCAGGAATGTTTCACCCTGGCCGCCCTGGCCCCTCTTTTCCCTGCACTTTCTGCCACGCAGGCGCCCACACGCTCTACAGGCCTTTATGAAACAAGGGGGTTGTGGGGGGAAATGATTTGGGATTGGTCGACATTTTTCCAGCGGGTTTGGAGAACTTTCCAGTGAGGTCACAATGAACTGTTCTGCGGGCTTGGAGATGAATAGCAACAGAATATGACAGAACTTTGTTCCAAGCCAGAGAGACCAACTAAGGAGATCCCACGTGGACCCTCCAACAGGTGTTTCCTGTGGTGACAACAGGTGTCCAGAAACCCGCCTCTTAGGGTCCTAACACCACTATGTTGGAAGGTCCCCTCAGATGATTTTGTCATGGAGATGCAAGGGGAGAGAACTCCAGCGAAGCGGGGGAATCCTATGGCCCACCAGCTCACTGCTCACTGAGATCCAAGGTGTTGGGCATGAGTGACAAAGGATCGATGGCTACATCACCATGATATATATTTATATATTATGTGTTTATTGATTATATGTGTATTGGGTGCCTTAAGTAATTATTCCAATGGTTAAGTGAGTTAATGGAATTAGTGGAACATGTTTTGAATATATATATACGACACTATAATACACTATGTTGCTATGACATCAGGGGTGAAAGCAAAAATTATACGCCGCCGACGAAGACAGTTCCTATGTTTGCGTTGAACTTCGAGACAATGAAAACAGTCCACTGTACGTGCATGTGTTACTTTGAATCTTTGATTTTTTGTGTGTATTTATATATATATATATATGTATATAACTTGGAAGTTAGTTAGTACTTCCAGCTTCAGCAGCCTTGTTCATTTGGATGGCTTCTTGCGGTGCCACTGCCAGCATGCCCTGCAGGGTTATTGCAGACGGAGCGAAACCACTCGCTCCAAAGGCTGTATTTGAAGGCCTTGGGATGTGGCTGTTGTCTTTGGTAGAAGGTTATGCCGCGCACCCAACACTTTTTGGCGGGTCGACTGCTCAGTTCATATTTTGGTGTTCACCTTGGTTCAAAGGTGGTTTTGATTGGTACTCCTATCCACTCAAGTTTTGGCAGAAGGCTTTGGCAGCGAAGGTGGTTCCACGTATGGGTCATGAAGAGCGCACAATGGGTTCTTAATTAAGTGGCACGAGATGGCACGAGGATCAGAATTTGGTTGCGACGGAGGAGTGCTACATCAGTGCATCAGCAGTCGAGATCCCATTTTCAACCAGATGCCGATCTACGATCCAGGTCGCCACCGCCCAAGCTGTAGGACCCTATCAATCTCATAAAGACTTGGACGGTCATCACCACTCTGACGTGGTACCCCCACAGGTCGGAAACTCGGCTATGATTGTCCAGTGGCCCTGGCCGCCCCTGGCCCTGGCTGTCGCAGGTGTTTCGTTCATGAACGCCTTTACCCCGCTGGTTTCCAGGTTAAAGCACCAGGCCTGCACATGGGAGTGGCATGGAATCGGACCATGTGTCCTCCCATGTCAAACCCTCGGAGAGCTCTTTCGAAAGATCACCCAGCCATGTGACCGATCCACCACCGATCCGAGAGGAAGAACAGCCACGAGCCGAGCGCGGCATCGCGCGGCACCGCGCGGCATCGCGCGGCGTGAGGACCCTGCCCTGGTGGAACTGATGGACGAGCTTTTCTCCGACGCCCATCGTGCCGATACGGCCGGAATGCTGATTGCCTGGAACGCCCAGTGGGGAGTCTGGGCGGGCGAAAAGAAGGAGAAGGGATTTCTTGTTTTGGAAGCATGCTCCACCCTGCTCAAGTTTCAAGTGTCATATGGGAAACCAAAATGTGGTTCGCGCATCTTCGCGCCAGCTTCTGGAATAGCTGAACTAGCGTGAACTGACGTCGCATGTCTCGGGGACGGCGGAGGTCACGAGTTTCATCATGGCCGTAGCAGCTGCCGGGCTCTACTTCTTCCTCCCACGGGAGGCGGAATCCGCCTCGCCGCGCGGAAGTCTCTGCAGTTTGTGCCGTGGTGATGCAAGTGGTGCAATGATTCATGGCGTCATGAACTTGTTGAAGAGCTAGCTCATGACTCATATTACTGGTCATGCTTGGAACCCAGGCTGAACACAGTAGGAGGGGATGACCTCTAGCCCTACTGGTCGATTGCTGCGTGGGCCCACCCTCAGCCTCAAGCATCTCAGTCCGCATAAAACATATCAGCACATAGACTTGGTGAGCTCTCACATGCTCCGAGGCCGATCTCGAATTGAGCTTGGAACTGTTTTGATGTTTTGAGCTGGAAGGCTGTTTGTCCCACCAAAGCCTGAATCATGCCTGAATCATGTTTTTCTTCAGAAGCAGAACTGCAAGTGGTGTTTGGGTGTCCTTTTGCCCCATGCAGGCCAAGGCAGACAGCAAGGACCGGCCAGTGCACCTTTCGTCCAACCTTCTTGGACGCGACTTTGTGGGGAACATGGAACATGACTACCCTGTTTCATCATGTTTCATCAATTTGCCGAGCTACCAGCAGGCTTGTTCTCCAGGTTCTTCAAAGAAACATGTTGAATCCGGCGATCGCGTCCTTTGATCGATTAGAGCACCAACAACATCTTAGGTGAGGGAACCTGGGCCCCTCGTTTGCTTTGTGAAAGGCTTGCTCTTTCTGATTGCTGGAGTGCTGAGGGAAACAAAGCACCGCAGCGGTACGCGTGTGCGTTCCTATCCTTTCCCAGAATCGGCTGCGCCTTCACATTCAGCTCATGCACCTGTCATAGCCGACTGCCTTTTTAGGAACACACCCTGCCTAGAGTGTGTGTATGTGTGTATCTGTATAAGTTCTTAGTTAGTTTCACACATCGTATATAAATGATAGGTCGTGTGGCACAGAGAAGCCCAAGAGTTTTGGAGATGCATTCAGGACACGGAGAAGGGTGCGGAGGCAGGATGACAGGGCGGCAGGAAAGAGGTGCAGGTCAATGGTGATGAGAGGATCTTCCATGATGTTCCTCCTGAGAAGTCTGTTGGGGGTTGGGGACTGATGTGAATAAACTAACACTCAGCAGGCCAGAGCAGATGATTTTGGGAGATTGTGGGCTTGCCAATCAAGCAAGAACTTCAGAGCCATGCCACGTAGCTGCGGGGCGTCTCATTGCAGCAAGATATATAATCAATGACATATGCTTCTGGATGCTTCTGGACGTGTGGAGGGGGCATGCATCAGCCTCAATCAGTGAAACTAGCATGTTCTGAGAAGAGTTTACTCAACAGGAGGGCCCTCTGGCGCTTTTTCGAAGTGATGGGTGCTTTTCCCAGCTGCAAGTCGCCTCCGGCGCACCTTCTACCCGACAAGTCGTCTTTCTTTCGGGTTCGAGACCGAGTCCCGCGCGCAGAGACTGAGGGATCAGGTGAAGCGTCGTGCAGCACGGCCGCACGCCGGTCCGCACGCCTGCCGCACGCCGGTGAGGTGAGTGGATCACTGACTGCAGATGAAGTGGAGGAGAGGGCAGAGGCTGCCATGCAAGACTTTGAGTCGGGGACCGAAGACAGACAGAAGAACGACCTGACCTGCCCAGACCTGCTCAAGAGTGCGTGAAGACCCTGACTGGTGAGAGAAGTACAGTAGTGTTCAGTTCTTACTGGGCTGCAGGGTGTGGTCCTAAAAGGGAG